TATTGTATTATGTACTTAATTATAATCGTGGTATTCCGACAGTTAAGCGATCGGTCATAAGTGTGGGGGCTCTGCAAACAAATAGTTTGTCAATCCTTCTCATCACAGAAGAGCGCAACGAGACTGACTAAAAGATATAGTTTTACTAACGAAATACTAAACTACAAATTTTGTGCTCTGAAAGTCTGGTAGAAGAGCAGGACATAATATCCATAGAGTCAATTGATGGAATGCGACTCGAAGACATACGGATAACTAGTCACACTACCCATGTTTGATTATGGTGGAGTAACTTGGATTAAGACTATCCAAATTAACTTTCAGCATTCTACAATTTCAACGGACAATATTACAGTTGTTCTATTGGAAAAATACATTGGTATAGTCATTATCCGTGAAATCTGTATACGGATTACTGAAATAAGGAGTCTATCTGGAAAGACCTCTTATATTCACTGTAATATTGTATTGTTTTATAATAATGCTATATCATATTTAAACTTTTTCTTTAGACCACTGTATGGTAGACATGGCAGACGCTGAACTGAATACCGTTGACGTCTTCAGTCTAACAACTGCTTGAATATTTTATATGTTAGCCATAGCTTTGGTAAAGTTTATTTAACGGAATTTTTTAGTACTGATAAAGTCTGGTTTGTCAGTATCCGAAAAAATGATTTTTAGAAAATATTATATTCAATAATTTTTTGAATTCTATTCGTACCTCTATAATCGTAAAACTAATGAAATTTGTCGATTATATTTATAACTTTTTAATAATTTTATTTTAAGTATATTTTATATATTGTATTTATCCTTTTAATATTCAAAAATATTTGTTGTATTTAATGATATTTTATAATAGAAATAAGCTTTCCTAATCTTTTAGAAAAAAATTTCTTTCCAAGCGTGATTTACTTTAAAGATTTATAATCCATCATTTGTATATAAATAGTATATAATGTATATAAAACATATATATTTTATATTTTTTATAAATTCTTTTAATTTTACTTTGCAGTTTATAAAAGACATAAGATATACAAAGCATATCTAATTAACTTTTTTATATTCTTGTTAAAATAGTTGCGGAGATATTTTTACAGATAATGATAATTTGGTGCTAATTGTGTAAGCTATCTTTATAAAGCCAATAAAGCAATTATTTTTTTGTTGTAAAGAAAAACCACAATTTAAAAAAAATCGTATTAGATATCACAGCACCTCCATGAGTTGAAAGCAAACAGATTCAAACGTTGTGATTAGAAATTGGCTCATAACATTTTAGTTTCCAAGTTTAATTTGATTTAATTACATTCATTATTTTTATTATTTTACTTTTCATTTTTACTATTAAAAGCTGCTCATTAGAGTTCTACTGACGCAATGAATCGCTTTGTTTAACAGCATTTAACCAAAATTCAACTCCGGCTTGAAACACGAATCATCTTCAACGGTCAAAATTAGCCTCTCCAAGCGTGTGAATTGTCGGTCAAGAAACAAGCTTCCGTTACAGACATTGGCATTTACCATGATTTTCAGTTTCTTCCATACGTATAATGTATATTTCTGCCTTTTGATATGATGGCACTTAATTGCAATACACCACGCCACTTCACCCGCTAAGTTCTATGGTACTAACGATCCATTAACTTGGCTCGAAAGAAAATCCAAAAGTATGCTTTTTGCGCAACACTTGGAAGACACATTAGCGGAGCATAAAATCTTCATAATTTCGCTTCTGCCCGCTTTTATGTACGAAATCGTTGCGTTGTTGGCACGACGGATGGCGGAGAAAACGTGTTTAACTTGTAACTTTGACTTGATTTTTTATGTCTTAGCACATTTGTTGTGTCTTTCGGAGGAATCTCTTCAAGCAAACCACGCTGAGCGAGCATACAAAGCGCTGCTTCTTCAAGTGTGCGGCCGACCCACTGTTTTATTCGTTTTGTCAAGAAGTCAAAATACAGTTTTTGAACCAAATCCACTAAATGAATATGCAAACGAGATTATTCAGTAAACTAATTTAAATTATTTTAGAAATATGTTAAGTAGTTCGCTATTTATAGTCCGTCAAAATTGACTAGGAAAAATGCGGTATATTCCCACTCATATGTACCTTATAATACTCGTACTATACTCGCATTATACGATTCTTATCTTTTTATTTAATACAAATGAGTTTCATTTTGCGAAACTAGTTGGTGGCACATAAATTATACGGTTCTGTATAATTGTATAAATTACAATATATTTTGAAAACAGTTTAAGAAAAATGAATATTTTTAATTAAATCTTGATTTGTTATTTTTAAACACGAAACAAATAACTTTCATTACTTCAAGTCAACATCTTATGCCATAAAATCCATATAAGTATTTTAAGTCCATAACTTCGAAGAATTGGAATGTATGATGATATATTCGCCAACCGAAATTTGTGAAGTAAACAATGAACACTTGAGATATCTAAACAAAACGTCTTAATCTGGTATGGATTCTCAAAAAAAAAGTTACTAGAAATGTAGTATTTTGAAATCCCAGATATATGTAAATACTCTTACACTACAGTACTTTTTTTACCATACTCATCCCTTTCGGAACACCTGCTTTGGTATTAATAGCCATCTATGTTAGCTATAGATGAAAACATAGAAAAAATAAATACAATATTCTAAAACCATGACGCGATTATAAAACAAAATACTGATTATTTTTACAATTTAAATGAACCTATATACAGCAATGATGTTTAGCTTGTACGTATAAATATAGCGTTTTTGAAGAAGTTAAAATAATAGATTACAGTTTGAAATAAAAGATTCCCTCTCAAAAAATATTTGGAAAGAAAAACCCCACATTTTTAATGAAATCCAACTGCTTCTTTAAAAAAAAGTCGATTAGTTTATGGTTTGCTGGACATGAGTACCAGGTTATATGGGTACATGAGGCTACTGCAGAACTGATGGATTTTTGAATGATGATTGATGATATATAGCGCACAATTCACTTTTAAATCGAGTAGATGTGTAGTATATATCATAGATAAAGCAATGATATACAAAAAGTTATATATAGATATGAACTTATCAACGGAAGTGTTTGCCGTAGATCTCATCTAACTGTTCAGTAAAACTGCAGTAATAATAGGACACGTTTTACTGGCAGCATGCTTAATAAAAAACAACTTTACCTAACATGAGGCTATTACTGTAGCTGTAGACAAACCTGCTGGAAAGGGGCATATATTAGCCCCAGGTAAGACATGCCTCGAGAGGCGCCTAAAATCCAGTGAAAGGAATCCGTTACTATTTAGAGTATAAATGGTAGAAGGTGAGTTTAACCTCCCGCATCAGATCGATGATGTAACTCTACTATCACGAAAGTAAGAGTTTCGGCTATCCTAACCAATTGAGGTTGGCCCTTTTAATGGGAGTATAGTGGTAGTTGTGGTCTAAACGCGGGTAGTATGTCTGTAATCATTACTTTATTTCGAAGTGGAGTTGTATATTCCAACCGAACGCTGCGCCCAAAGAACAACAGAGGTATAAGATAGAGTCAGCTCTCTTTAAAAGGAATTATATTGAAACGTATAGCTTCAATTGGTTTATTGGTGCATTACACTGACACATACGTTAAGAGTACCGTAATGTTAAGTCTTTTCGGGAGATAATCACGTTCAAAAACTTTAACTGTGAAAACTCTGTAGCTATAGAACTTTTTTCTTAAAGAGTTAATCCTACATCTCCAATGTGTATATTAAAGTAGCAATAGGGTAAGTCTCAAAATAGGAGGATTTATTACTAAATGCTTAATTGTACAAGTGTTTTTAAACCTTTTTATTTTATTATAATGCTCCACTTCATAGGTTCTAACTTTAGTCGACGAAGGGACGAATTGTCATGGTTTTTACTAGGAATGATCTTTGAATATGCAAGGCATTTGTACTTAACTGTGTGTTTAATAATATACAATATTTAATTTTATATCAAAATTATGTTCTACATTTAAACAGAAGGTACTTATATGTACACACTCTGTATTAACTATTGGATCGATTTTTTACTAAAAAAACTGACACCTATGAAAAATATATGATTTTGTTGGTGAGTATTTTCATTTTAAACTTTAACATTTTATTTGATTTCATAGTTTTGTTGCAGTAACAAGCGAATAGATAAATTCTATTAAGTGCCTTCCCACAAAAGTCTATTTTTGTATGGCACTCCGCGTCATACCTATTTTTTTGAAGTAGGTAGGTACTAGTAATAACTTAGAGACAACCAACAATTCTTTAAGAACCTTTAATAATAAAAAATTTAAAAATACTTAATAAATTTCAAAAAATGCAATTTTTTTCAATTTTGGTAGAAATATTATTTTTAAATACATAAAAAAGCACTTATTTTTAATAGACACAATGGTCAATTGAGTGAGTGCCTTGGTTTTATCCTGCCCTAAACTTAACACAACAAATGCATTTTTTCGCTTAGTTATTTTATATATGCTTTTAATTTGAATAATTTTTTTTTTTTTTTGGAATGACGATCATAAAATAGTTATAACATTTTAACGACAAAATTATTGAAAACAAAGTACTTTTTAAAGGTTTATCTGCAATTTGCTTACATTTTCATGACCGAATAACTTTACATGACAAGAAACATAAAAGAAAATCAAGGTTGATTTTATTAGTAACTTAAGTAACAAAAAATTAACGTCTCCTTCTTTTATTATTTCTTAATTTTTTCCATTATGTTCGGTTATAATTTAATGTAGAAGTACAGCTATATAATCTTCATCGAATCCAGAGATATTTACATTGTACATTGCTTGGGAAATACTTTCTGAAGAATCTTTGCAGTAGAATTTTTAATTATATTAAATGATCAAAATAAAGACATGTAGACACGTAGCCAGGGTACGATTTTAAGATGCTGAACTCGTACCAAAATAATCGAAGAACTATATTTAGGCGATTTATAGTCTATGACCAGTTGGGAAATCCGTTATAATAAGAGCTATATTGTCGTATGATCATGTGTTATGCAGTTAATTTTACAGAGATTTAGTTTAAAGCTCAGGATATCTCAGGATTTGTTTTAATAAAAATGTGTGTATCTACAGAATCAATTTCAGAGCTCTGTCCTTAATGTACTTTTGCACATTCTAAACTCTAGAATCTTTCAATTGTGTGACCTTCATTTCTGATATACCATTTAATATAATCTTGAAGTGTTCTAATAATTGATAGAGCAGCATTGTCATTACAAGCTCATTCAAAAAATAGTTTACTTGCTAATACAATAGTGTTTTTTTTACCCTCATTGATCACTGATCTATTTTTAAGTGCTACAAGATTTACATATATGGTAATACAGGGTGAATAGATCCTTAGCATCATTGCAATAACCAGGTTATTTTAATAGTTTAGGTTTAGTTAGTTATTATAACCTAAAGGTAGTTACTATCAATTTATGCACATTATCAATTATCAAATTTTAAAAATAAATTATAAACAAAATTTATAACAAGTATAATTATTACTTTAACGCAAAGCTTATTAATTGTAGCTTTATGAAATTCGACCTTACCTTTTGAAATCTTTAGGGTTGATTTCACGGTAGTTACTTGAGTCTCAAAACTGATTTTAATGTAGTGATTTGTTACAAACCATGGAGCATTTACAATTAATCTAAGCGTTTCAGATTGAAATCGTTGCAGTATTTCAAGATTTGAGCTACTTGCAGTATCCCACAGCTAGGACCAATATGGTGACTATAGCCCGTACTCATCTTCAGGGAACAATTTTTTATATGTAGTTAGGTTAGGTTAGACTATGTCTGCGATCCAAAAGATCCAATTAGGACCATTGTGTATAGTGAAAATTTAGAAATTTAAAAACCAACTTGAAGCTTTAACAAAACTTAAGGTGCCTTTTATTGGGCGGTCGAAGATTGGACCTGATTGGACCTAATATCTTCAAAAACGGAGGTACTTTAAAGAGCTTACGTTTAACGACATATACAAGGAGGGTTTTGGGGTTCAATACACATTAAAAATTTCCGACAGTTTTACACTAAATATAATGGATTTTTTTCATATAAATTTTTTCCATATGAACTCTTTGAAAAGGTTTGTTAAAACTCCTCCTTAAATAAAGTCTCCTAATACGCATTTTGCTGAAGTTCCATGTGTTCCCTTTCGTATCGGAAGCAAACGTCCGGCATGTAATTAATATTGAGAATATTACTTCCGATTAAAAATTAATAAGAAAATATAAAAAAATAAAAAAGCAATTAAGCAAGTTTATAAAAAAATTGAAAATTATGATGAACCACTCACAGGGAAAAAGAGAAATTGGCAAGAAGACGACAGTCTTCACTTTCTTTTTTACACGCATTTTTGCAAGGAAGCACAATAATTTCTCTTGTAATATTTCTGAGCTTGTCAATAAGAATAAAAAATATCATCAAAACACACAAAATGAGGTCAATATTAATTAATAATAAAAAACAACAACAACATAAAACACAAACAGCAAAGACACTTTGACATTCTTTGTTTTTTTTTCCTTCTCATTCTACCTTATTTATTTTGTTGGCTTGGCATATCTTACGGACATAACGTACCCAACAGTTAACAACAGCAACAAATCGAGTTAAAAGATCAACAGTATTACGGATTAATGAATTATGTAGTTGTTGTTGTTGGTGTTGGTGTTATTGTTGTTGTATATATTAACAGCGTAAATATACCAACGGCAGCCGCCATACCACAAAACAATAACAACATAAATCTGTTAGAAGACAATTTATTACATGTAGAGTGATGCAGTTGGATTACAAAAACAAAGTCGGTTAAGGGTTTCTGCGGTCTATGACTATGACTATGAGTATGTTTTTATACATACATACATATGTGCTTATATAGATTGTGTTGACATCTAGTTAATATTAAACCAGTTTTTTTTTGCTATATTTAATTAATTTTATATAAAAAAGCGTGAAAGAATTTTTTGAATTTTTTTATATATTGTTTTCACTGTGTAAACTTCTTTGCATCTCATTCATGATAGCGAAATTTTTCAACTTTTTTTTTTATTTTGTTTTTGTTTTTTATTAGATCACGATTCTCATGTTTGCAAACATTCAACTCCGAAACTAACAACAAAAACAATGCACAATAACAGAACTCAAGCGTTTGTTCGCCGCCTGCGAACCCGCATAGTTCAACATTTTTTTACATAAAATTGTGATATGAAAAAGTTTTTTTTTACTTTTCACTGACGCAGTTTTTTTTTTTTACAAAATACTTATTAAAATTTTTTTATTTTATCATTTAAGAAACATAAATTAAGGAAAAATCCTATAAATGACCAAAAACACAAACTTACATTTTACTCCGCAACCGTGTTTTTTTATTTTTATTTTTTTGTAGTTGTTTTAATGTCAAAATTTCCAGTGGCATTTACACATAGCACACAACACAAGAAGGCGCAACAACAACAACAAGAAGAAGAAGACGAGATCAAGAAATCTTGTTTTTAATGGAACCACTAATGAGTATTTTAATTTTGACGTGTATTAATTTTGCAAATTTATTATATTTATACACACGCAGAAAGTGTAAATTTTTAATAATCAAAAATTTCAAGCATTTATTTTTTTTGTTAATTTTAAGCACAACTTTTTGTCACGAAATGCGCACACACAACACAAAGTCGCGAAAGTATAATCGAATCTGTTTCTTGCGCTGTTTCGAAAATGCTTCTTGGGTTTAAACTTGCGCCGCTGGTTAACTGAGTTTTCGCACCTGCTTAACTCAAACTGGTTATTTGGCTTATAGGCAATGTGCTCAAATTGAGTGAAAGCACTCTACGTGTGGTGTGAACGTTAGTTTAATACTGAATTCATACAAGACTTTTGTTTGTAATTTTAACTGTCAAAAGATTTTATTTTGCCTGTGAATACAGTATAAGATCTTTTGATCTTTTGTATGTAGTGTAATTATTATTAGCTTTATTCGGCCGCTCCGAAGTGAGGCAAGAACTTATTGATTCTTTTGTCAAAGTCTCTTGCTAATATATTGGCTAAAAAGTTAGAAATTTTAAAGGAGCTTTCAACTTCAATTTCTTCATAAATATTATGTGTATTCTTAAAACTTTTTTATGTATTTTAAAACGGGGAATGAAAGTAATAATTATTTCAAAAATTTGTGAGAAACCAAGCAGCAAAAAAATGTTATCTGATTTTTTATTCTAACAACCTTCATCCTTAATATTATAGAGGAATATATATAGCGTTTTAAAATAAAACTTAATAAATAATAATTCAATTTACTTCATTTAATTTAATATTAAAATCTTTTAGATTTGTTAACATTTTATATACATGTTCATTTAGTGAACATTCGTGATTGTTTTATTTGAAATTTAAATTAAGACAAATAATAAACCTAAATTATTTGCTTTTTATAAAAAATTAAGCACTGATGAAGTTCTCAAAAACAGAACGAAATATATGCTAAACATTTTTAAATAAAAGTTTTTCATTCGGTTTTGGTTTGCTATTTTTTATAAAAAATAAAATTATATTCCCTCTCTAACAAGAGCAGTTTACAGAGATTTTTAAATTTCATAACTAATTTTTATTGTTTATAGTATGTTAATTATAATAATGAATTTATTTTATTCATATATCATTATATGTGAATAATTTATTATCTTTTTTTTATTTATTTAAATATTATTCATATTGTAATACTCAATAATTAGAGAATTAAAACACTCATTAACTGCTGAAAATACTTATAATGATGTGAAGGTTTGGAGTTGCTTCAGAGATGCTACTTCTATTTGGTAAAATAATTATATTTTTTGCGTCATAACGATAAAAAACTCATTTGTCATGTTTATTTTTATAAGACAAATCAGCTATTTCTCGACTTTACTTTTGACTTTACTTGAAAAAATAGTTAAATTTAAATAACTTTATTCTTTTTAAGTAATAGCAAAGGAGTGAAATTATTGTATTTTAAATTATAAATGAACTCACCGCCTGCTCTGATATCATTGATAATACCATTTAAATGCGATCAGTGAAAAAATTTTTAGACCGATTGTACTTTTATAAATAATTATATAGAAATTTTTATAAAAAATTATGCTGATTAAGATTTTATATCTGAGCATAATTTAAATATTTCATTAAATATTTTTTTTGACAATGCATTTGTAAAAATAAAATTATAGAAAGGAAATTATATTACTTAATTCTCTTAATATTGTTTTATTTGTCATAATAGAAATTAGCACATAAGCATATCTTAAAACATAAAAATTACTTAACACACCACGTTGTATTAAACAATATTTAAAGATTTTATATAAGAAAACAAATTTTATTTTAAATCTATCAAATAATCTGTTTCTTTCAAATTTGTTATTTATACTAACTACTCCCTGAGTAGATGTAGCATATTTTTTCCGCTCTGACATCTGCTGACAAATTATGCATTTAAAGTGATATCATATGATAATTTTTAAATGTCAAAATAATTTTCCCTTCCTATTTCAGTTTTTTCGCTTTTCGGTACATAAATTTTAAATTAAAATTTAAATTTGTTTTTGTTCAGTTATCTGTCAAATAAAATATACAGCTGATAAAAATTGTTTATTACTGAATTAATCTGGCGTGTGCAAATTTCTTATCAGTTGGAACTGTAAACACAACGTACCTTATAGGTTAAGTCAAAATAAAATAATGACTGAAAAGGAAAAAATTGAATACATTAAAAGCCGCATTGGTTCTTATCCAGATTTTCCAAAAAAGGGTATTATATTTCGGTATGTAATATTTTTAGGCTGCCATTATTAAATATTAATAAAAAATGATTAAAAACTGAAAAAATTCTAGTGATATCTTTTCTGCCCTGACTGATGGGAAAGTATGTCAATACCTAAAAGAAATTGTTGTTGATTACATTAAAAGATGCCATCCAGAAGTGGAACTAATAGTTGGGCTTGAATCACGTGGCTTCCTATTTAATATGATGATAGCAGCTGAATTGGGAATTGGTTGTGCGCCAGTGAGAAAAAAGGGAAAACTGCCTGGAGAACTTGTTTCAGTAGAATATACACTTGAATATGGCACAGTAAGGGAAGTGTTGAAAAATTTTTATTTTATTATATGTTGTCTATATCATTATAGGATGTCTTCGAAATGCAAACTACAGCCATCCAAAAATGTCAGAAAGTCTTGATTATAGATGATTTGTTAGCTACGGGCGGCTCATTGGATGCTGCTATACAACTGGTGCAAAAAGCAGGAGGCGAGGTTGTTGCATGTGTAGTTATTCTGGAACTTGTAGATTTAAATGGTCGTAAAAAATTAAATACCGATGTACATTCCTTTATTGAATACTGTGGAGATTAGTTAGAAAACGATACATGGAATTCTTTCTGCATTTATATAACGAAGCATAATCCAGACATTTTTGCCTCTCTTTTAATTGTAAATACTAAACACAAACAATTTTAAAATTTTACACAAACAACAAAATCTATATAAAATATATATTTTGGTAACAGGTATACTAATAAGTGTCTATTTTTGTTATTTGTTAATGGTTAAAAATTTTGATAATAAATTTTTTTTAATGATGATATACAAATAATACTTGAAATTATTAGCATCTCCACTATATTTATGGAGAATTTTGAACAGTTCTTTCAAAAATTTGCGACATAGACGACTCCGCATTTGTATAAAACTTCACATTCGCTAAACTTCACATTAACTCTAAACAACTAAAACACTACCAACCACAAAAATTGATAAGGATTTCAGATATTACAACAAAAACAACCTTCTCAAATATGGATTAAATAAACTTTTATCCAACTGAGTGTTAAAGAAGAAAGTCATTTTTCTATAAAAGAATTCTAATAAAAGCTTTGCGAAGAACTAAGGATCTGCAACACCGAACATTGTTTAAGTTTTGTTCTTTGGTTTTATTTAAAAGTGTCTGTGATCACTTGACTGATTTACTGTATTAAGTGTTCCATTGAACAATAATAATAAGTTATGCAAGTTTTTTTTACTGCAGATAATCTCAAATGCCAAATGTCTCTGATATATTAATATATCAGATATTCAACTATTTCTTCTACCAAACACTTATTCCTATTTGAGCGTAGTGTTATTTAATTCTCTCATTGGATAATAAAAAGGTGGCATCCTCTTGCCTATCTGATTTTAATGTCGTTGACTTTTTGTAGTAGTTCCTCCGCCTTTGAAGATTTTTTTTGAACAACAGGGCAATGAGCATGCTGATGGTCAGCCCACCTTTCTGCATGAGCTAATAATTATTATTACCATACTATACCACTTGGAAGTACAGTTTGGAAGTTTATCTTCACTTAGTCTAAGACCTAAAAGATATTACTGTCCTGTCCTACTTAGAAAAAGAGACCTTTAAATCTCAAATTATATATAAATATAATTACAATATTAGAATGTTATGTATTAATTTTTATACACCTTATAATTAGTGCTGAATCTGAATCTATTTCATCATATTGTAACGATGAAATTTGAGATTGTAACATCCCTAGAAAATTGTATATATAAAGTAGTTGCATTATATGTTCAAGTAGCAAATTGAACTAAATTTGTTCAAGGAGCAAATTAAAGAGTTGGGAATTAATTAATAAGAAATAATTTAAGAATTCTGTAAATTGACATCCAAAAATGCAACCTAATTCCATTTAACTTGGTAAATGCTAGCACTATAACTGTCACTATTCTATACACCTTGACACACAACACCCACGTGACCCCCTATGGATAGCTACAATCATCCGAGCGTAGTGAACTAATGTGAACAGAAAAACCTTTCTTATGGATATGGGAAGTTATATGCTCAATGAAAACGAAGAGGAAGCCTCGAAGGAACTGGACGTGGCTAAGAAGGCCTCAGCTGATTAAGTAGGTAAATAAATAAGTAGAGCACAATGCCACATTTTATCAATTCCAATCTAATTTTGTTATGAGAGTAAGTAACTAAGTGTTTCCACGAATCCTCTTTATTTCTGAACTCTAATTCTATTATTTTCTTTCTTTTCTTTCATGTCATGACTGATACCATAAATGTGATTCACCGCAATGATTGTCGAGCAATATAATTATTCACTCTTTCAAGAGTGTATCCCATTCTGTCCCATTTGTGCTTTAGTATTAGTATTAGTTTGATGAGTTCACTTTCATGAATTGATGTTGAAAATAGTTTCTATGGACTAAAGATCTGCAAACAAAGTATATATGATCCATGTAGATGTGACCGATAGTCTAATGTTGGTGAACTCTTAATACCATTATCATCAATATAACATATATAGGAGTCAGTGAAAATAAATTAATCTATTGTACATAAACTACAGTGGATGGATCTAGTTTATCTATAGGGGTTTGGTATTGTAACGGTTAAAATTATAAATATTGTTCTGTGTGGCTAAAGAATATATGTCGATCAGCTAAGATAACCCACC